ATCAGCCGGTAAATGGAGGATCACGATTGGCTCCAAAATCAATAGAACTGGAATATCAATCGTTTATGACACTACCGATTTCAAGACCTACGAGCAACTCGATACCTTGTTGCACCAAGTCCCAAACACCGGAATGTGGGAGTGCATTGACTTTTACCCGGTGTCGAAGACTAAAGCTAATGGTCTTGACACATCGGTCAATGGACCGGATGTGAAGCATGTGATCAAGGCTAGCATGGACGATACTAGAATCGATCATTACGCCATTGGGACGTACAGTGATTCTAAAGGAACATGGGTCCCTGATAATCCTAAAATCGATGTGGGGATTAGTACCGGTTTGAGGTACGATTACGGTAAATTTTATGCATCGAAGACGTTTTATGATCAACACAAGAAACGAAGAATCTTATGGGGTTGGATCGGAGAATCTGACAGCGAATCATCTGACGTACAAAAGGGTTGGTCTTCTGTTCAGGTATAATTTCTTTAACTAACGTGCTACGGAAGTTAGGGCTTTGAGGTAACTTGTAACTTGCGATCTAAGTTAGGGCTTAAATTTGCTTTAATCATGATCAGGGCATCCCAAGAACTGTTGTCTTGGACACGAAGACGGGGAAGAACTTGGTTCAATGGCCAGTTAAGGAAACTGAATCTCTAAGATTAACCAGCAAGAAGTTCCACATGAAGGTTGGACCAGGGACGGTGGTTCCGGTCGAGGTGGGTCCCGCCGCTCAGCTAGACATAGAGGCTGAGTTCAAGATCAAGAAAGACGATCTCGAAGTAATCTTTGGAGAGGACTCCTTGGAGGCCGACGAAGAATTCAGCTGCGAAACAAGCAAAGGCTCCACCGTGCGTGGGGCTTTAGGGCCTTTTGGATTCTCAGTTCTTGCTGACCAAAGCTTGTCGGAGCAAACTCCGGTTTACTTTTATGTGACCAAGGGAAAGGATTCAAAACTCAAAACATTCTTCTGCACTGACACCTCAAGGTAAGTAATTTCTTCAAAACAATTATTTAAATTCTCACTTCTGTATATATAATTCATCCTTTTTTTTCTTTAGCCATTATAAAGTTTAAAATGTATAGCAAATTCATATTTCGAAAGTACCAGATGTTAAATTTTAACGAAATATTGATATGTGGTTAATTTTTAAAATATGTTTTAATAGGTCGACCAAAGCAAACGATGTGGTGAAACCGGTATACGGAAGTTTCGTACCGGTCCTGAAAGGAGAAAAATTGACCATGAGAATCTTGGTAAGTTATTAGCTTTAATTAATTGTTTCTTACAAAAAAACAAGAAACAAAAACTTCATATAATTGCGTTGTGATCAACTTCAACTTTGAATGTATATATAGGTGGATCATTCGATAGTAGAAGGATTTGGACAAGGTGGAAGAACATGCATTACCTCAAGGGTATATCCGACAAAAGCCATCTATGGAGCTACAAAGCTTTTCTTGTTCAATAACGCCATTGATGCGACCATTACAGCGTCGTTTAGGGTGTGGCAAATGAACAATGCTTTTATTCGTCCTTACTCTGCAGACGACAGCACCTGATTATGTTACAAATGATTGTTTTTGTTATTCATTTATATTTGTTTAGTCTTTTGATTGTTGTCATGTAATGGGTCTGATTTGATCTGTGTGATTGATTCATCAATCATCATATTCATGTGAGTGAGTCTTTTTTTTCTTTCTTTTTGTTGGGGGAACAAGAAAAATGAACATTTCATTCTTCTTTCTTTGAAAAAGCTTCGGATTCGTTCATTGATCATTGCTCCAATTCTGAAAGAGATATGTTGAGCCAATCCGACGTAATATTGACAAAGAGTTATGATAATGATCAATTGACAAGTCTTTTTAAGGTTTTAAAAGGATGATCAATAATTGTTTTTAAATATTGAAATTTTCCAACAAGAAATAATAGGATCCTTGAGTGCATAAATTTGTATAAGACTTGTCGATTGATCATTATCACAAGAAATAATAGGTTTGCAAGAACCTTGCTACTTATGAAAATCCTTAAACAAATATCTTAATAATCGAATCATTAGACATCTTTAACTATTTATAAATATGGTTTATCACTAAGCATTCACGGTTTAGTTTGCTTTTCACATGCGAATAAATAAAGAAAACATAAAAGATTGATTCTACTCAAAAAGCACAGGCTTTGTACCAAAAACAAATGTCACTGTGGTGTCAACCTGGTCATAAGCCATTTCCACAAACATATTAATCAGTTTGCCATGAGCTGAAACAAAAAGAAATCTTCTATCTTGCATTAAGGGTGGCCGTATTGGTCTTCACAAAACATGGTGATTGTGTGAACCGAAATCCGCACAATAGTTTCAAAGGATGTGATTAAGAGAGGAACTAGAATTTCTGAGAGTAACACAAACGAGGATCCAAAGATGGTGATTTTATTGATGTAAAGTGTAAAGCGTTTTGCAATGAAAAAGTGATGATCGAACTCATTCGGTTCGATCTATATTTACTTAGGACCGACTTTCTCAAGATATTCCTAAGATTCGTTGTTATCCTTTGCGGCGCGTCGGTTTGACTCTAGTTGCTTCTTAGGGCGAACCACACGTCCTTACTGGGCCTCAGCTCAAATCGACTTAGCGGACGTTAGTTTGGCCCATAGCGCGCAATGATTCGGCCCAGCTCTCCATCGCATGAGCTTGGTTCGCCGGACGTAGCTTTCGTCGTGTCCTTGGCGTGAGCTCCAGCTCGTTGTGATCTAGCTCGTCGTCTACTTTGCTCGCCGTAGCTCGTTGCGACTCAGCTTGCACCGGTGTGGTTCGTCGTGTTTAGCTCTTCATTTCTTTCCACACGTTACGGTTCATCGTTGAGCTCGACGGGAAGTATTCCGACCCCATGATACTAGGGTGCGTGCTGGATTGGATTTCAGAACCGCTTGGAGTGTAAATTTTCTATAAGAAATTACAAAACATCAACAAAGTGAACAACTTCATGGAAATATATGCTTACGATAGCAATAATGGAATCGTATATAAGGTAATTGATTATGTATTTTTATTACATTATGTATTTTAAATTTTATGTTGGTTATGTTTTTATAATTGTCATTTAATTAATATTTGAAGAATTGCTATTCATTTTTTCATTTTCAAAAAAAAAATGATGGTAGGGTAAAAACATTTCTTTGAAAAATGTGAAAAAAAAAAGTGAAATATGAAGTTTGGTTGGAGATGCTCTAACATCAACATGCCATCCCATTACTAGTCAGTACAAGTCTTGCTTGTGAGTTGTGACAAAACAATCCAGTGAACAATCCATCCCATTATATATATCTTTAGGTGGCTTACAAAACAATCCAGTGAACTCAAATACAAAAATGTATGAGTCCAAAAATGCAGAATCATATTATACATTATTTGATATGCAACAAAAGGAGTATGTCTGCTTCACGAGCATTTCTCAACTTTGGACATCCATTTGCTACGATTGTTGCCAAACAGGGAAAAGGCAGAGGACTCCAATAGATGTTATGCAGCTCCGGTAATATAAACAAACGTAGAATTTTCAGCTTTTGAAAAGGAACAACAATCCCAGAGTTTTCACATACACTAGTAGCCTTTTCTCCGCTTATTATATCTTCTAGTTGATCTGAAAAGTTCACGTTAACATGTGTAAGACTTGGAGCAAACATGAGCCACGTCAGTTCCTTTAGCCATTGGCATCCCCCCGTATATGCACATGTGAGAGGCTCAAGAAGCATAGGTGTCTCGGTACATGACAAGTTAAGATATTGCAAGGAAACTAGTTTCCATATTCCGGTCGGCAAGGAAACTAGTTTCCAGATAGTGGATATAACTCTGTTTGACACATAACCATCGAGTGACTTGATCCACCACATGATCACATGACAACGAGCAAGAGAAACAACCTCCCATCGTTGAACAGGCACCAAGAGGAGAGTCACAAACAAAAAAAAACCATGGAGCAGTTTGCAAGCAAGTGATAAATATTGCGAAAGAAGAAAAGTCAAGATAGAGAGCAAGAATTAAATCAGAAGCATTGACTTTCTTGCCTTCACGATGAGTGCTTTTCCACCACTTCGTTTCCATGAATATTATATACTCTGTCAAACGCATAACTTTGGCATACACTATGACTAGAATTGGCAACCGTAAAACGTCAAACTACACCAAAAGGAACAAAACAAGACTAAAATGGAATCACTTTCTTTAATTATAATATCTTATAGACTTCACTGCTTATCAGCCTTTTTCTTACATTTGCACAAATCTTATCTTCGAATCTGATTATATTTTCCCTACAAAAATTTACCAACTGATGCCTTTTTTTCTACTTTTTCCAACGAATAGCTAAATATCGTAGGTTTACATTAACCTCTGCCAGCGCATTTCTCCTACATTCCTTATGCGTATAAGCGTCGAGAGAAATCTTGAATTCTTGATTAGCTTGAGAAACCAGTAACCAAATACATTTCTCCGTTCCTACATTCCTTTGTTCTTGAGCACCTGCATTACGTACCACAAGACCAGTTTGAGTACGCAAATTGTAAAACAACAAAGGTCGTTCATGTGTTTAAGTTCATCCATAGTAACACTTCCACCAGTTATGAGAAGCAGCAAGTGATATATCTTCAAGTAAATTTTCAAACCAAGGAGGAATCATCACAATGAAGAAAGAAATTTCACCTCGTAGGTCGAGATAAGATGATGAACCATGCTTTATCAGCACCGCCAATCGAGGTGCTACCAATCTCGGAGCACAAAAATCTTCTAGGAATCCCTTTGAAATGCCTAAACTGTATCCAGAATCTCCAATAAGTACTGAAGGATGCGTGAAGAATCCAAATGCGGTCCCCAACGAATAATAATTGACTGAAGAAGATAATCACTTGCTTGATTGGAGCAATTGAATATCTCTCAGCTTGATCGAGAGAACTACCGACTGGAACAGATGAATTTGCAGGACAAAACCCAAACTGCAGTAACAATCACAAGATAGACACAACTTTGCTGCATCCCTTAGATTCTCTGCCTCTGAGTAAAGACGGTGCATTGCCACAGCTCAACATTTCTTTGATAAGTTCAGCTGACGCAGTTATGTCACCATCACTAAGACACAACGTGCCGTCATTCAGCATAAGCCCGTCCCTTTTCATTTTCATATACAACGAATCTATTTCACCATGTAGCCCTTTCCTAAACAAGCCTAACATCATCGTAGTGTATGTCACAACGTCAGGCTTCACTCCTTTGACGCCGAGGCTACAAAACAAACCCCAAGCTTCTTCAACCATACCAGCCTTGCACATCCCCTGGATAATAGTAGTATACGTGACGATATCAAGACCCATTTCCTTCTTTTGCATATCTTCAAATATCACCAACGCTCTCTCTAGCTCCCCGTTGTCACAGAGACCACCTAACAGAATGTTATACGTCCAAATATCAGGAGAATCCATCTGACTAAAAAACTCA